CGACGTTTTAAATATTTTTTTTTTAAAAATGGGATATAAGAAAAATATTCAGCTCTAATAAACGGCAAAACTATAGTTTTTAAAAGATAATTTATTTCGTACATGTACTATGGCTACAATCTGCACGATGTTGTACAGAAATTGATGCCAGAATTAATGCTCGAATTTCCACTTGCGTCGGTATATATACGTAATGAAAATGTGAAGATAATTAATAGTGATCGATTCTGAAAAAAAATCTTTCTAACAATTAAATTTTGTTAACACACGAAAAATAAAAAGTATGGAATATTTTGAACAACATTACTGGCCAGGTTAAAAAACATTCTGATTGCTGTACATGCATGTTCACATGCACGACAGATTATTATTTTTTATTTCAATATTTAGACTTTTTTAATCAAGTGATTTCTTTTATTGAAGATTATAAAAGTCTCGATATTGTTGATTTGTAGTTTTTACTCGTGATATTTTCTTTTTTTTTTAAGGAAAGCATTTTCTAAACGATATACATATATTTTATTTTTTTTCTTCATTCAAGACATAACCATGATTACGATGAATGCGTTAAGTTTACCAAAAAAATTTCATATTAAAATAATTATTTTACATAGTTTCACTCAAAACCAGTCACAGAAGACGTAATGATGGCCCTAATTACCAAAGACAGACTTCCCACATGTAATGCTACGTTTGCACAGATTTTTGACATCTTGGGTATTTAGGGTCTCCAGGTAAATAGCACCACTGTTACTTCGACCACCACCCCCAACCCCCCTCTTCAGGTAACCGTACGGTAAAAAAATTTAGTCTTTAACATTTAGACCCCAATTACCGGAAGTGAATGTAGCTAATAGTTTGTCTTAATTGAGCAAATTGTGGTTTTGTAAAAATAGAGATAGTTAATGTAATTTTGTTCACCCCTCGTATGTTATAAAAGCCCACTAATAATTTTTTTATGCGTTGATACTATATATATTGCTAATGATCCGTAAAAATAATGAAAAACAGAAGATTTGGAAATATTCCGCAGACAAGTATTCCTTATTAACCTTAAGAATCTGAAAAAAATACAAAGTTCCCCATTTCTCTCATCTTCAAAAACCATATCAGGTGAAATGAGTTTTTTTCAGAGTGGACATAATTTTTGAATATATATATATATATATATATATATATATATATATATATATATATATATATATATATATATATATATATATATATATATATATATATATATATATATATATATATATATATATATATATATATATATATATATATATATATATATATATATATATATATATATATATATATATATATATATATATATATATATATATATATTTTATATATATATATATGTGTATACTTGTCAAAATTTCTAACGCCCCACTTTCATTTCTTGAAAATGGAAGAAACCGTTATGTTATTATTAAAGTCCTTAAAAACATAATCTGCTGTATGTTCCCTTTCATGTCTGCTTTTGAAAAAAAATTGAATACAATTAGAAATTATTCAGCCGTGACCGTTTTCGTTGTAAAGCGTGAGTACGAGTTCGAAATGGTTTTCGGGTGTGTTTTTCGAAACGGTTTTTTCCATGTGTTTTTTGTCTCAAGATCATCTTAAAAAAACAGTCAAAGTTTGGGGGAAAATGCGACGCATGTCTGCACAAGAACGCGCAAGAGCAGTATGCATTGTCCAAGCCGGGAGCAGTTCACGGAAGGTGCGTTTCTTTTCGCTTTGTACAAATTGTTTTCTTCCAACATTTAAAAACTAATATAAAAACTAAATAAATTGATAAAAACTTTTTCAGGTTGCTAGAACTTTCAACCAAGTTTCAACCAACTAAGGCTCGTCCGGAAATTCAATCAAACCGATAGTACAGATGATCTACCCCGAAGACTGAAACGTCGAGTGATGACACGCCAACAGGACAACTACATTAGAGCAGCACATCTGAGGAACAGACACCTTACAGCATGCACAGCAGCGCAACAAAAATGGGAACGCATGGCAGGCCGCTGAGTGACCCAACTGTGCGCAACAGAGGGAGGGAGGGTGGACTGCGTGCCAGGAGGCTTAGTTTTGTCGGACAGGCACAGACAGCTCCGTTTGGCTTGGGCAAGGCGCCAACCAAGATTTACAAGGGCGGACTGGGGCCATGTACTCTTTACGGACGAGTCCAGGTTCAACTTGCAACGATCTGACGGACGAAGTGGGGTTTATCAAAGAAGGGGTGAGCGGTACACTGACGCCTGTGTGAGGGAAAGAGGGCCGTTTGGTGGTGGATCGATAGTGGTATGGGCGGGTGTGTCCTTACACGAAAACCAGAATACTTCCAATTCGAGGAAACCTGAATGCTGCTCGGTATCAGACCGACATCCTTCATCTGGAAGCAATTTCCCACATCAAAGCTAATAGAGGAATGATGCTTATGCAGGACAACGCCACTCCCCACACTGCCAGAAGTACACAGCAGATGCTGCAGGGCCACAACATCCGTTTACCCGACTGGCCCCCATGTAGTCCGGATCTCAATTCTATTGGACATGTGTGGGACGAGCTATACAGAAGGATAAAACAGATTCCCCAGCAGCAGAATTTGGCGGTACTGGAGAGGGATCTTGTTAACACATGGAATAACCTCCCTCAACGATTTCTGCACAATTATGTGAACTCTATGAGAAGCAGATGTCTTGCTGTCATTCCTGCAAATGGGGGACATAATCGGTACTGAATTGAATTTTGAATTACAGGGTATCTATGCCGGAACTTAATTTTATCAAGCATAGCAAAAAACTTTGATGGAATAAAATGAAATTTATTTATTTATTTATTTATCCTTCACCTTACATAAAGATGTAGTCAACATAATTGCGTTTAAAGGTAATGATTTTAAAAAATATTGTCTGAGGCGTTAGAAATTTTGACGTATTTAAGAAATAAGGTATCATTTTTAAACATCTATCGGGATATAAATACGGGTCGGTCACGAGATTAAATTCCATAAAGCCCGAAGGGTTTTATGATGAATTTAATCTCGTACCAACCCGTATTTATAGCCCGATAGATGTTTAAAAATGATACCGTATTACTTATATTTACATCTGTAACTTATTCATACTTAGTATTTGCCTAATTGTGACTTTTAACGTGTGAAATGCATTATTTTTCAAACCCAACGGCATGTATGTTATTCATTGAACGCGCGTCGACGCTTTATGACGTCACTAAGAAATTACGTCAAACGATTATCCATACGCACATCTATGACCTCTTGCTTGACCCATATATATATATATATATATATATATATATATATATATATATATATATATATATATATATATATATATATATATATATATATATATATATATAAAGCATTCAAAAAACCAACAACACTGGATATCCCAATATCATTAATAAATTTTTAAATATTTTAGGACTTATTATCGGGAAAAAATAATTAACAAAGGCGTAAGCAATGCATAGTTATGTGGGTTGTTCGAGAGTTGGTGACGCAAATTAACTGTAGAGTTTACACTAATGTGAGAGAATAATCTTATTTAGTATTATCAGGAATTTGGTCTAGTTTACGTTAATTCTGATGAAGTAATTCAGTTTGTTAATACCATTAGGGCGGAATGACTTCAATCTATGCATCTAGATCTTTTCTTTTTCTCTAAGCGTCTGTCCATCTTGGGCTATGGTCAATCACCACTACTGTCATGTCCTCCCATTTGTTACCCTCAAGGTTGAAATGGTCCCCCAACGGGTTCATTGAAATTTTTGGTCCTAATGGTTGAACGGTGGTTATTGACTCTTGCGCTGACTATGCGATGACCTGGCATGCCTTCTTTGTATATTTTAGGAAGCAGATAAAATTGTCCTGGTCTACAGTCAATAGGATTTAAGGCCTCATAGACGTTGATAGCAATTTCATTTTTCTCAAACATATCGTCAAGAGTTTTGGTAATGGCGGTGGAGAATTCTTTAGTAGGGTCCAGTTTCCTATAGAAACGTTCGTCTGAGAGTTGTCTCGGGCCTCCGCCATGTAATTCTCTTTATCCAATACTACAACTGTAGAGCCTTTGTCTGCTTTCTTGATTACAATGTCATCCCGATTTTTTAATGATTGTAATGCAGATCTCTCTTCCTTTCTCAAAATGTCGGGAGTCTTGTCTGACATTGAAAGGAGCTTATCTATGTCTGACTCATCGTCGTCAATATACGACTCGAGCGCACTGCACTTTCCGGGTGCAGGATTCCAGTCACTCTTGTGCTTAAAAGGTTTCAGGTCTTCTAGGTGGTCCTCTACATGTATATCGTGTAAATCTGGATTGGAAGAGTCGTATGAATTAACTTTGGTTCTTCCCTAGAGAAGTCTTCGGAAGAATGCTAGTGAGTCCTCTCTGACTTGTTTTCGTCAACCTCATTTTGCGTGGGGCAAAAATATAGCCCCTTTGAAAGAGGTGAGGTCTCCGATTCCGAGAAAGAAACACTAGATGTATTGAACACTGGGCAGACGTAAGCTTGTATGGGGTCCGTTCCTCGCAATTGTCTGAAAGCGTTTGAAGCAGATCCAGTGGGGTTTACGTGTTTTGTTAACTCTGACCGGTTGTTCCTAGAAACAATGTCGCGGAGAAATTTCTTACTTTGAGTCTTGTTGACTTGACTTGTTAGGGCAATATTATAGGTGTCTATAATATTAAGAGCTTCATTAAAATCGGCCTGTGACATGATATCGTTGAGGGATGATTCTTGTTTAGTGGTAGTGCTAGTTATTAAATATTACTTTACATTATATATTTCCATGATTTCAATGGACGAAAAGAGTCAATATAAAATGGATCCGTCACCATTTTTTATATGTAACTGACCTGCGACAACGTTCATGCACATGTCAAAAATATTTCTATTGCCTAAGCCACACACCTACTAAGATTATCATGAAATGATCTTTACTAATGATTGAATAATGATTACAGGTGGAACGGTTGATATTACAGTACATGAAATGATTGATGATGAAGGACATGTGAGGGAACTCTACAAAGCTTCTGGTGGTGACTGGGGAGGTACAAAAGTGGATCAAGAAGTTAAGAAATTTTATGAAAAAATTGTAGGGAAAGATGTAATGGAAAAATTCAAGGAAAGAAATATGGAAGGAGCTTTAGAGTTAGCTAGAGATTTTGAAACAAAGAAAAGGGCTTTTAAACCGAATTCGGAAAAAAAAGTACTACTAAAATTTCCGCTATCCCTTCAGGACATTTATGAAGACTTAAACAACGGTAATACCATCGAAAACGATATTTTGAAGAAAAATGTAAATAATGATGTACAAATTCGAAGAGACAAAATCGTAGTTTCTGCAGATGTTTTTGGATCTTTCTTTACCCCATCGCTTGTGAGCATATGCAATCATATAAGCAAAATTTTTGAAAACCCTGATGTCAGAGATGTTAAAATCATTCTCCTAGTAGGGGGATACGCAGAATCAGAAATACTTACAAGCGAACTAGAAAAAAAATTTCCAGACCAAAAATTGGTGATTCCTAAAGAACCTGGACTTTCCGTTTTGAAAGGAGCGGTGATATTTGGACATGAGCCAGAATTGATACAGGAAAGAAAAGCAAAATATACCTATGGAATAGAATGTTCGACAGTATTTTGTGAGGGAAAACATCGCGAGGATTATAAAAAAGAGGTTGATGGAGTGGTATATTGTGCGAGGGTTTTTGATAGACATGTGAAAATTGGATCATCACTAACCGTCGGAAAGTACCAGTCTACTCGGACTTATAGTAAGCAAGCCAACGCCCTGGCACAGAATATGTATGTATACGCTAGTTCTCAGGAAAATCCAAAATATGTTACCGATGACGGTTGTTTCCTTTTAGGAAGTACAAAATTAGAATTTGAAGGAGGAAAAACCATGGGGGCAAGTGTGATAGAGGCACAAATGTCGTTTAGTGGGACAGAGATAGAGGTGACATTGACTTGTAAAACTACGGGGAGAGTCACCAAAGTACATCTGGAAAATAAATAATTCCTAAAACAATGTCTTAAATTAAAAAGGTTTGTTTGGATGTCAGTTACACCATTGATGATTCACCCTGCTACAAATTTGAACTTTCCGCTAATGAAAACCTATAAAGGAATGTATATTACTGTAGCATTTGTAGAATAGAAGTGTTATTTCCATAATCTCTCTTCAGTCAAACTTATATAACTATTTTTTAATTTTAATAATTATATTTTTTCAGCTTTGCTTTTGACATGTTTGATCCTGACTACTTATCATTAGATTGCAAACTAGTTGTTTCAGATGATGACCCACAGAAAAAGGACGTATTTAAGCAGAATTCTGCATCAATAAAGGCGCACCTAAAAAATACTTTAATTGCATAAAACCATTGCAGTTTTAATACATCTTGTTCATTGTTGTTTTAATGAAATAGAATAGGAATATATTTTCCTAAATAATAATACAATAAACTATAAAATAATTTGAAAAATGGCTAGATGTGTTCATTGGTACAAAATCTTTCTTTGTAAAACACAATAGTATCAAATATGCTTAAAATAAAATAGCATTTCAGCCTTACTTTATAGACATTAATGGCAAAATTAATTTACCTGAAATATATTTTGCTGTAAGCGAAATTTTAACGAGGCTGTGATCTAATTAGGATGATAACTGGTTAGCCCTGTACTACTTTGTATTAAGCATTACATAACGCAGTATATTAAGCATAACATGATTCATTTTGCCTCATTATCATTTAAAGACTGTTTGACAAAACGTTTTGAGCGACTTCAACCACTGTTCAATGTAAAACCCCGATAGATATTTTCTATACATCATAATCATCCATTATGTTTATATTAGGCATTACATTATACATTATGATGTTTATTTCATAATTATTGGATTTAACATAATGACGTGAAAAGTGTAGCACGGGGACATTTGTTTGATTACATAACTTTCAACCGGGGACGTCCCCGCTTTTCTTTTCGATTAAAAATAGTGCCAAATTGATAACAAAAACGATGGAAGTCTAGGTTTCTTAAAGTCATACGGCAAAGCGATTCTTCATTAATTTCTTTGTTCAGTTGTTGTCCAATCGGTGAATACAATTGTCATGTGGATTCCCTGTCCTAAACACGTGATCACGAGTATAGTTATGTCCATTTAAATGCTTAAGAGATGTTGCTTGTTTTCCTTACCGTTGATCCGCTGGTTTTCTAAACTAGACAAAAACTACCTATTATTAAACATATTTTTCTCTAGTTAACAACATTCTTTCATAGTTTCTTATCTTTGTATTTTGTTCATAAGCACATTTTTTTTTATTTCTCTATCAATTCAAATGATCATAGATTGATCTGACAAACGTGTTCGAAGTAAAATGTAAACAGGTATTTTGCTTCAACCTTGCTATTAATTCAATGATTGGTCAGTTGCTCGTGATAAGATCCTCTGAGTGCATTTTGTAAGAATAAGCATATAAGGCAAGCAAAGGTTTGTCAGTTTAGATGATATTTGCACCTATTTTTTACCAGTGTATCGGTCGCTAGTAAGCTATAATTTTTGCCGTAAAGTATGATAAGATATATATTGTTATTTTAACCCTCCTTTAGCCACCATTTTTCTGTTTAAAATCATGAAAGTCTTTCAGAAAGGTCTTGAAACACTTTTTTACAGGATATACAGACTATAGCAATTTTCTGTTTATTGTCAATTTTATTTATAAAACAGGTTCTACTCCATTACCTTTACATGGGTCAAGCTAAAGCACGTGCCTTGAATTTAAATCAGAATAATTTTAGTAGGGGTGAATGTACAAGAACGGAATTTTAAAAATATATGGAGACAGGGGTATACATACACCTATTATCTGCAATATGAAAACCGAATTAAGGAAAATGAACACATTACTTGCAAAGTATTAGTGTTTCGTATTTATGTTAATGTGTATATGATAATTTTTTTATACATAGGCGTAAAAATCAATGTTAATTTTACGTAAAAATAAATGCTTAATAATACATGATTATACAAATAAAAAAGGCAGCCATCTTTGACATTGTGCACATGCATGTTCACTCATCAATGTATGTCTGTTTTATTGAATTAATTTTATTCAACTATTTGTTGCAGTTTATGTATAATTTACCTCCGAAATAGTGAAAGAAAATATCATTTTTTTAATGATTACCATTTCATTTTAGCAATGTCATTTATTTACTCATCATCTTTCGCCTGTTGAATAAGACTTGTATCAAAACAGCACACACATGAACATCTCAAAGAATTTAAATCAATTGTGTGATGTAATTTGATTCTACATTGTAATTCAATATTAATGATAAATAATGCGGATGTCTTCACACTTCGCCAAATTTACAAGTGACTAGTTTTGGCTAAGTGGGAATAAACTAAAATGCAACTCGTTATACTATGGGTTCATTACAGAAAGAAGTTGTTGTGAAGAGTTAAATATATCCTTGTTAATCTTAATATCTGTAAGTTACAACACTAATAATAATAGATAATTAAAGCAAATTATGCATATCATTGCTATTTGTGTGATGTACTTTTTGTGTAAATCTAGACATAAAAGTCAAATCAGACACACCTATCTGTAAATTACGTTTGTTGTTTTTTTTTTCGCTTTTTTCTCGTGTTCATGCTTCATTTTCCTAATAAATGGAAATATATGTTCCAAATATACGTAGTTGTTGTTTATAAAGTGTTTTCAATAACAAATCCATTTTTGTATAGGGTGATTAAAATGATATATATTTTGTGACGTAACCTATTTTCGATAGTATCCTAATTTCGATAGGGTAATGTTTTTAGCAATAAATCAAAAAACCTTTCGTAATTATTTTGAACTATTATCTCAAAATTATCACCAGATGTAAAAAGTGTAATAGAGCCAAAAAGAATAGAATATTTTGCCATTTAAAGAGGTAAGTTTCTATTTTGACTTTTATCTGTTCAAATCGTGCCCTTTTCTCATAATTCCAAAAAAAATCACTCTAAAACCCTATCTACCAAGCCTGAAAACACCATTTGATGTTAAAATGTTATCAACTGTTAGATAGCTCTGTGTTGTGGCTAAAAAATAGATAAGTCTCACTTTGGGCAAATTGCAGCTAAAAAAAATAAAGTATGGAAGCCTGTTACGGGTATTTTATTTTAAATTTTGACATCTTTTATTGTTTTCAGTTTTGTTTCTGTTGATTTATGGGTTTTTTTTGTAAATATTTTCCACTAAAAGGAGAAATTACAAGAATTATTATAGGTCATAGGCCATGGATTTTGATTTCCAAGCAGAAAATGGATCCTGGATTGAAATTTCAGATTTATGAAATTTAACCCCAAAATTAAAAAAATATTATTGTTATGATTAAGTATATTTTATTTGTTGTTAAGATTATAGTTGAAAACAGGGCAAAAAACCCTATACCAAAAAAAAAATTATAAAAACAAATAAAAGAAAGCAAAAACCCACACAAAATAACATTATTTGATGTTTTAATGACAATAACTGTGCACCAAACTTGCTATCGAAAATAGGCAAAGTCATTCAAAACAACCCAGATTATGGCAGATCCAAAGAAAGTTGAAACAGTACTGAAAATCTTGATTTCAAAAACAAATGTCTGAAAATATTTATTAACTGTTGACTAATAATACATAAATTATTGATGTGAGAAAAACATAGATGCCTATATTTAGATTTTAACTTAAGGGGGATGTACAAGCCATATTAGATCTAGTCTGGTGTAAAATAAGAAATACCAAGAATGTGCTTAATATTCTACTAAACTAACCCAAAGTTACTCAAAGTGCTTATGCACTGATTACCTATTGTTAGAGACCAAAATTAGTAAATAATTAAGTGTATTTTGTTTTAATTAGAAGGAAATTAATCATGTTAGAACTGCGCAGCTACAGCATTCACGAGGTGAAAAATGCATAGAAAGTAGTGTTAGTTTGATCCATTGATAATATGTCTACAACCATTTGTTTTGCTTTTTTCTTGTCATTATCAATAATTCTTGAAAATTTTATTTTTCATATGGGTGTCTTCCTGAGGCCATGTGTTTATTTCGTCCGCCATTCCTCTGTTACACAGAGTTCGAATAACATTGATTTTAGAATAAATACGACCATAATAACATCAAGACGAGAAATAACTAAGTAATAAGCATTAAGTTATATTACTTACTACTTTTATTTGTTGCATCGCATCGTCTGATTAATGGGAAAAGGCGATTTTAACCCCACTCCAGCAAATCGGGAAAAACTGTTCTGTTTAAATCTCTAATTTCCTCGATAATATCATTACACTGAGCACGCGGTTGGCATGTGCATATATCTGCTGTGGATAGATGCGTGTATTACTATGATTATATTTAATTTTTCATGAAAGAAGTCTTGATAATTTGTTGTTTTTTTTTAAAACTCAAGAAAAAAGATAAAGTATGTCCTAAACATATGTGTTTACGGCGGGTCTTTTTTCTGTGGCGATAGAAGTTATTTTCAAATGGGGCACTGCAAGGAGGATGCTTAGCATTTTATTTGAAAATGTTTAACAATATACAGTGCATGAAAAACAAATTGTAATTACATGATTTACATCCGAAAAGTTGGTACAAATGTCTATTTTGTTTAGCAGTTAGATAGAATAAATAGACAGGTAGAGGATTTCCTTTAGGCACCTCACATAAATAGCTAGATTGTTCTGCAATGAACCATACATTGTATGGAGTAATGTTTGGACATAAAAACGCATCATGTCTCCTTATGTTGACAACGTTGTGAGCTCTCGCTCATTGAACATACCAAGCTTGATAAAATATATTGATTTGTTTCTTTGAAATTTAGAAGCAAGCACATTGTTTGCAAAGAAAGTTCCATTGCATATGCTATGTCTATCATTGCAAAAAAAAAAAGAGAGAGCCTAAACCCCCACCCCCCGAAAATCCTACGTTTGTTTTTCAAAATAGTGCTAAAGATTAAAAAATTTC